CACCACCTTGCTGGGGTTGTTTGACCCCATTGCTCTTTCCTGCCATGGCAGGGGGTCGGACTTGATGATTTGTCAAAGTCCCTTCCGACCCTACAAACTATGAAACTATGACATATTATAACCTGCCTGACATCTGACTCCCCAGGTACCTCTCTACTATTTACTAGCTCCATTCATTCCCCACCCCCCCTCTCCTCAACCCGCACCTACTGACTCTTCAATTGACATCTTCACTGACTGGCTTTCTTGCCTGAATTGCATACCAGACTCTGGCTTCTTAACTATTCCTTACATCCAGGAACAGCACACACCAACTGCAGATGCTTCCTCAGCCTGATAAATCCTGTCGTCCTGAACCCTCAAGATACACTCAGGAGAACTTCACTTTCTTGAAACAGCTTGGTAGTGTAGGATAAAATTAATTCTATATGCAACTGTTCTAGTCCATTTAAAGGGAAGCTGAAACATTTGAAAAATCATGCGTTATCCATATGGTTAGAGTGAGACGTGAGCCATCTCTTATATAGGAGAGATGAACCTGCTCTTCCTTGTGTAATTTTTCAATGCATGATTTAATATCATAATTTCAGTTTAGGTTGGATAGATGGAACTGAGGTGAAGGAAATGCTCAGAGAATAGTTACTTATTCTGTGGAAAGCTTTTGTTTAGCTACGCAATGCTTTAGACTAGAAATCAGAGAAACATATGGTTGGAAGAGACCTCAAAGGTTATTGTGCTCTCCAGTGACAGTATCAAGTGTCAATCCCTGATAGACATTTGTCTAATTTGTTCTTAAAAGCTAATGTCAGGAATTCAATGAATTCTATTAATAAATCTGTTCCAGTCCTTAAATATCATTATGTTAGAAATTCTGTTCTAACTGAAATCTCTCGTGACAATTTAATCCAACCATCGCTGGTCCTCCCTTTGGTGAACATAAAGAAAAATTAATTGCCTCAATTTTACAAAAACCTCTGATGTATGAGAAGGCTTCACATACAAAAACCTCTAATGTATGTGATGCCTCCTTCTCCCACCTCCCCCCAGATTTTCTTTTCCAAGCTAAAACCCACAGGAACACAGGACTGGAAGCAGCCTCTCTTGAGACACTGTGTTAGCCTTTTGCATTAACAGGCGTTCATTAATCAAAGGGATTCCCAAAACTGCCACTTCAAGTCCTCACCCACAATATAATGAACAAACTCTGAACCACTGCAAACTCTCCATAAAATGTCAGAGGTAGAAGCAGGGGCAATGAGGGCACTACTAATACCTTGCCAATGCAAAAACAGTGAAGTAGTTTGTTAATATGTGCTCAGCAGATCCTTAGAAAAGACCATGCCCAAAGCAATGGGAGTATGCCCTTTCCTCCCTCCTACACACATACACAACACATACCAATTGGAGCTAGTGGAAAAACTCCTTCTTGGTTACTAATTTTGTGACTGATACAACCCTGAGCATAAGAGCTAGACACTCTAGTCAGAAGCTTCTGCGTTTTTTAGTACTGGCAGTAGCATCAGTGCATGCCAGTCAGAAAAAAACAAAAACAAGCTAAAAGAACATCTGTACATATGGTCAGTGCCTCAGAAGATGGCAAAATTGACCACAAAAAACCAGCAGCATTCATGCGGGGAAAAAAAATTCTTTCTGGACCTACCTGGCAACTTGCATAAGCCCTGAGGCTCAGGATGTCCTTTAACTTTTTCTAACACATCATGTTTTCTTGTTGCCCTTCTCTGGACTCTCTTTTACTTATATACATCTTTATAAAAGTCTAAAATTCAACATGGAACTCTAGCTGAGGCCTCACAAATGCCGCTTCTGCAACAGGATTGCTCTGCTGGCTCATACTTGTTTTGTGATCCACTTTAACTACCAAACAATTTTTCTGTAGTACTATTGCTTTACCAGCTTTTCCCTGTTACATATTTGAGCATTTGATCTTTTCCTTTTAAATGTAAAACTGCACATTTTTACTAAATTTTAACTTTGGCCATTTCTCCAATTTAACAAGTTCAGAAATTTATCACTGGATCATTCTGAGTAGTAGCAATTGACCAAATGGCAGCAGCTGTCAGGAGAACCAAAACTAAGTGGCAAGGAAGGCACAAATAACATTTCTGGCAATGACACAACAATTACCAGATGTAATACTCTTTCCTGATCCTGCCGTAAACCTTTAGTGTCTCACCTGGAGAAAATATAAGCTCCAGTCTAAGAAACGCTTAGAAAGGCCATTTGAACTCACCAAAACGCTTTCACATGAAAGCAAAGTTGTGAAAAATATTAAATTTATAAAGCAAACAATGTCTTTACAGTCTAAATCTGTCCTTTATCTTTTTAGACAGACAAACTTAGATTAAATTAGGCAACACACAGAATCTCAGGAAAAAGGATCTAACATATATATTTTCTGAAGGACAATGGATTAAATATCACTTCAGCAGAAAAAATTGAAAAAAATAACAAAAGGCTTTAGGCCTATTTCCCTTACCCGCAGCCCATGAAAACGGGGATTGCTGTAGAAAAGCTTCATCTGCTCTGATGGGAGTGGTCCTAGCACCTTCTGTATTGTAAACAGCTGGTCGATTTCACTTTCTCCAGGAAATAATGGCTGCCCATCACTTAGCTCCCCAAGAATGCAGCCTACAGACCACATATCCACAGCCTTTCCGTAAGGGGCTCTGTAAAGCAAACACAGCATATTCTCACTGACAGACACATATTTTTGACAACCTGATTATTTGAATTAATTAAAAAAAATTCCTCTGTATTAAGTATGCTTGCTGAAAGTAAGGGAAAAAAAATTTGAACCTAGAGAAGAATCTTCAGGCATCTAGGCTTCCTATTAGTTTTACTTCTGTATTGCAAGTTAAAACAGCATGACCATGCAGTTTAAAAAAGCACAATAATGCTTCCAAAGGGAAGAAATAGATAATATTCTAATATTTAAGACTATATTAAATGCCAATTTCCCCCATTTTTAGCCAAAGTACAGAGCATTGATGAATATATTATTACTGAATTACATTTTGCCCCCTTTGTTTCACTTAACAATTCAGTCAGAATGGTGAATCATAGATGATAGAAATGATCAGACATCAAATTTCACCCTCTCTTTGCATTCAACATTTACATAGTGGAATTTTAAGAGTAGTAGACAAGTGAAGTCCTCCAATAACTATTTACAAGTAGAAAACCACATAGAGAAAAAACCTAGGGGGTTCACAATATACACCTTTCACGATATGCAGCACTCCCCTACTGGAGGCTGCATCCAGAAATACCCATATGTCTGACATGTACACTCCAGCAAACACAAAAATGGACAACCAGGTTGCTGCTTTGCAAGTCTCTTCAGAAGACAGGAAGTTTTCAGCTCTGAAAGCAGAAGATCAACTTGTTTGATGGCTTTTGGTCTTCCTGCTAAGGTTCTGCTCTTGTGTATTGTTTTTTATTGCAATACATGAAGGAACTGATGCTTTATTTTTAAACAGCTGGTGGGACAGACCAAGGCATCTCATTAACTGGATATTAAAAATTTACTGGGTGGATTTTAATGGCTTTGTGAACACTGAACATGTGCCAGAAGCTCTCTTTTGGACAGCTGGATTTGGAACAGAATGATAAGAGGATTCCTTTCTGAGATCTGAGTGGATATAAGTGCTGAATCAAGGAGAACGGCTTTGCTCAGCTCTCTTCCTTTACAGACCTGGAATCTATTAGCTCACACTCTGGTTTGAAGGTAACGTTAAATTTGCCTGGCTTGACTCTCTGAATTGAAGTCACTAAGGCTATATCTATAAGAGCCTTAAAGTACAAGCCTAGGAGCATCACCAAGTGATCAGCTCTGCCCACTCACACCTGCTCTATGCTCAGGCTCTCCACGTGGCACGTGCCCAGGACCAGGAAGATGTGCACCTGAGCTGCCTACCCTGCCTAGTTTATGAGCTCAAACATGTTCAGTGTAGGGTGGTTGCAGCTTAACTCTTATTAACATTCTTAGACATAGCCTAACAGTTGAGGGCCCTCACATATCCTGTCCTAAATCTGCCTCTTTTTTTCCTTTTTTTATATTGATGTTTATCCTTAACTTGGGAGAACATGGCTTCTTTCACATGGCAGAGCAATGCTGCTTTCTTCCTCTAAGTTGCTCTGTATCAGTTACTGATACAGATCCGCACCTCTGTTGTAGTTTGTGTGGAGAGGGATATACTCCCAGAAGCAGCTGGGTTTCAAGAATCTGCACTTGTTAGGCTGGACTGAGCATGCCTTATTTCACCTGGGAAGAATAAGGAAAGAGAGGCCAAAAAGAGAAATCAGGCTTAGGAACAGTTCCACTGAAAAGTCTGCTTCAAGGGAAGGAGGCAGCTACAAAAGCTGAAACAGGAAGACAAAAGTGCACAGACTTCTTGCTTACCCGAACACTGCCATGAGGCGCTGCTGTGCTTTCAAAGATGGGGACCAGGAACACCAAAGTGAAAAGAAGAATGTTGTCAGTGGCCCTAGAACAGCAAGGCGGATCATACTTAAGCTCCTGAAGGGCAGTTCTGCGATGCCTTGTCTCTGGTACCGGAAATGTGATCTGTGGAACTACTGAAGCTACTTGGGCCACTGTTTCAGCTTGCTGAGCTGGCACAGGGAACCTGCTGCAAGCATTGTTTAATGTCACTTGTTCTACAGTACTATTTAGACTGGGAACAGGGTGAAAGCCAAGGGAGAGCTAGCATGAGTGCTTCTGTTTCCTGCTATAATCTTCACCTTACCAAGAGTTACAGGCTTCAAATCCAAGAACCTGCTCCTACTTGCACCTCTAGGGGTGGGTGGGAGGGTGGGGGTGGGGGTGGGCGTGGAGGGTGGGACACGATGGCAGACATGGTATCTGTACCTGGAAGCTGAAACTTCCAGAGCAGAGCAATTACTGAGAACAGAACTGCACAACTCTTGCCCAGCAAGAGTGCAGGACAAATAAGCAAAACAGGCAACTTTTTCCCTATTATTCCTCTTTTTTTAAAGTTAATCTTCCTTGAAAATAAAGGAACAAAAGAAAGAAACATTTTGGAGCTAGATTAGCTGAGTAGGATCTTTCTATACTCCATAGTCAGGAGGTCTGGAATCTGCTTGTTTCTGTATAAGATGGTTTAGATAGGGGTGATCCTGCCTGAGACAGGGGGTTGGACTAGATGACCTCTGGACATCCCTCCCAGCCCTACTTCTCTATATGATTCTATGATTTTTCAGAAGGGTAGGTCAAACCCCTTTCTACTTACTGACAGATCTAGTCCTGTTGTCTCAAACTGCAGGACAAGTAAAACAAGGTAAGAATGGCGAGCTTGAACAAGAGAAACAATTCCTAGATGATAAACAAATCTGCATGCCTAATTGGAAGCTTTATGCTCCATCGCTGCACAAAACACAAGACTGCTTCCAGACATTTATTTGCTTAGTCTCTCAAGATTGTATGTCTATGTTTTAAAACCTACTAGTATTTATCAATATTTTTTAGTTCCAAAAGAATACAATGTACAGCACCAGAAGTTACCTAGACTTTCCAAAGTGAGTAGATTTTGGGTACTTTATGAGCAGATATGTTTTCTTGACTTCAAGAACTTCTTTATTCAAAGTAAATGAAGAATAAAGACCCCCTCCCATTCCCTGGGAATGTTCTTATTGTACAGTTTTTAAAAGTTAAAAACAAATTTAATGTTTGTAAGGTTAACATATTTAATATTTCTGGAAAGAAAATTCATTTGTTTATCAAGATGTAGGAAGGAGAACATGGCTGCAGAGAGACACTGGCTTGAGAATAATGCATCAGCAGTAGCTAAAAGCACTTCAATATCACATACACTAAATATAGATACCTATATCATAAACTAATCTGCCAAATTTATGACTCTACTGTGCATCACTGATTCACTATTGAAAATGAAAGGGCAGATTATATTAACACTGCAAAGTACATTAGTGTCAAAAGTTTCATTTCATTATGTCCTTCTTTTCTGAGCCTACTAACTCACAAGACTTAAAATAATAAATAAAACTATATCCTATAACTAAGGCCACTGCTGACACTTTTTGTTCTTGAAACACTTTATTAAGTGTGGAACTTTCTTGGCAGCTTGATAATAAACAATGCACTGATAAAGACTACCCATTTTGTTTATTGGGACATTCAACACATTATGAATAAAACAATTTTTAGACCCAAGTATTGTTGTGCATCAATGTTACTAACAATGTCAGCACAGCTCTGGAGACTGTGGAATACATTTTAAAAAAAGAATATATTGACAACTTGATTCAGTTTTAGCTTATATAATAAATTCACACTCTGTACTTTCCCATTTTAATCAGTGACTCCAAAGAGATAGACTTGTTTCTTAGAGGCAATGAACACCTGTAAATCTAATTTTGCTTAATGGCCACTGATGAATCATAATTAGATCACACTGAAGTATTTAGTTGATGTGGAGTATAGAAAAATTTCAGAACCTGGTGATAAAGAAAAGACTGTAATAGAGGCATCAGTGATTTTTTTCTTTATTATTTTTAGCTGGAGTTCCTACATAACTCATCACCTTTACTTACTCCATGTAAGGTAAGGAAATGCCATTATCTTCCTTTAACAGATGTTTAAAATTAAGCAATTTACACAAGGTCAGACAAATGACTATTACTTGCAAAGGTAATGTGGCTACTCATTGTCTTTTGGGAAAGAAGTCAATTACCTTGTTCCCTGAGTTCTTTGTAACCAATGAAAGAAACCTAGCATCAAAACAAGCACCTTGCTTTTCAGCTATCTCAACAGCAGTGTCAATGAATAATTGGGAATAGAAACTGAATTATATTCTTAACTCAGTGCAGCAGCGTCCCATCCAAGGAAGCATAGAAAAGACTTCACCTACTCCTGTCTACACAGCATTCATTTGGCAGCTATAAGAACATTTCAGGAATCAAGAACAGAGTACCTTTCACAAACAAAAAGTATTACTAAAATAAAAACCTGAACTAAGATTTGAACAAAATCCTATCTTATCATGAAGTCAAGCCACCTTGCTAGAAACTGAAGCCACAATAATTAATGAAATAAGTGAGAAAAAGCAGTGGATGATACAAGACTTAGATGTCATGGCTGCTACTTCTAAGGAAGGATACTTACCCCAGCAGGAGTTCAGGTGATCGGTACCATCGGGTGGCCACATACTCAGTGTAGTTAGCGTTGCTTCCTTCGGAGAGATTTCGAGCAAAACCTGGAAAACAACAGTTCAGAAGATTATGTACCAGTCTCAATCAGAAGGTTTATATGCTATCATTGATTTTAGCATTAAAAGTTAACTTGAAACAAAATCAATTGTTATATGTACTCTAGTTCAAAATGAATGTCTTAAGTACCAGCTGTAAATGTTGACTGTCCACAGAGGCTTCATCTTGCATATATGAATATGGGTTGAATAGCCTATCAGTCCATAACTAGCATAAGCAACTGGGGTTCCAGATCCAGGCACTACCTTGGGGGGGCACAAGAATGCTATGCTGCTACTGCTACTGGACTGGGGCTGAAGCAAGCACATGCTTCATGGCTCAGGCTGAAACAGGGCCAGGGGAAGTGGAAGTGATGGTGGAAGGGTGTGGGGGGCAAGGAGGGAAGAGACTGTGGAGGAGCAGAGTCAACAGGGACACAATTAATCAAGTCCGCTCTGACGTGCTGTAATTACAGTGCTAAGTCTGTAAGTACCTATAGCAATTAGCAGGGGGCAAGTGGCAGGGGTTGGACTGCTTGACATCCCTTATTGCCTGTTCCTCTACTGCCTGCCCCCCACTGCTGCTTTCTCCAATGCATCTGTGGGGGATGGGATGAATGTAAGACAACTCTCCAATAATTAGATTCTATACATGGAAAATTATAACAAATTTATAAATTTTCCATGAATAGATTTTAATTATAGGGGGGCCGTCTTAGATTCAGGGCTGTCTTCAGGCACCCAAGTGCAATCTTTTCCATATACTTGAGTCTCTGAGAGAACTGCTAATGTAAAAAGAAGGTGGGTTCTTTTCCACCTCACTGCTCATTTTGTAACTTAATTTTACGGGTAAGATAACAGCATCTTATAAAACGAGATGCATTAATGGAACTCCAGGGATTTGAAGGGGTGGAAAAGAAGCCCACTTTGTCACCTATGTCCACTTAGATGACCAAGAGATAGAATAGGAACAGGCTTAAAGAGTACAAGATGACTAGAATATGCAGAAGTAAGAATAATTTGGAATTCTTAAAAATTCTCTCCTGGATGCAAAAGCAACTGAGCACCACAGGGACACAGCAGCTGGAAAAGCTGATAATAATAACCACTCTAGGGCAGGCACTGGCATTGTTTTTGTAAAGTGCCAAGCATGCTGCTACTGCTAAGCAAATGCATACTAATCAGGCAAGACTGGGTCCAGAGAGATGTCAGCTGCGAGACTCTGGATGTGAAATGTTTGCATTTCTGGAACAAAGAATCAGGAGCTGATCAAAAATGAACTGGAATAAAATTGAGGGGCATCTTTCCATAGTTTTTAGAAATGAGAGAGAAACAATAACAATTCTGGAATCCAGAAGAGATGCAGAGCACGGCTTCACTTTTGGATTTAAGCACTGTTTAAATCTTATGGTTGATTTTCTGCTGCTTCTGGATTCTCAGGCAGCAACAAGAGTTGCTAAGGGTGCTTATTCCTTCTACCTGTGCTTGCAAAGATTTTGATCTTTTATTTAGGATGCAGAGCCCCTTCCTGAACTTAATCTGAAAAGCCCAAATCTAGGAGCACTGCAAAACACTAAATGCCATAATTTTTCCTCTTAGTAGCAGGTGCACTGAATGGGTGATAAGTTTGTTATTAATATAAGTTTCAATTTTTATTTATGAATGATAAATAAAAATGGTTTGTCTATACCATTTCAGCACAGTATCCCTAGTTGGATGGGATTGGTTGAAGCTGGTCCACCCCTGCTGAGGGGCATATTCCAGGCCTGAAAGGTTGCCAGTGAAGCTATTCCAGTGCTGCTTTCAGGCCCACTGAAAATACAGGGCTCAAGAGCAGGTGCTAGAGATGAGCCTTTAGCAGCCTCACTGGAAAACCTCGAGGCCGAGTGCATCATTGGATTTGATGAATGGGTCCTGAGTGGGTGGGGCATGCTCAGCCCTCTCCTTGCCAGTACCTGGAGCTGAAGTGGCACAGACAAGCCTTCAGTGTCCCCAAGAATTAAGAATCTAAAGGTGGCCACAGAAATGACAGCATATGCTGGAATAATTCAGAAGTACAAATAATTCAAATTTGTTAAAGTTTCTCACCCACCCACACCTCACCCGGCCAGCTGAGCATCACAAGAACATGATATAGTGAGTGAAAGCAAGGAGTATCAAGGGATTCAGAGGTACAGTGGTGCTGGGCAATAAACCCATCTGATGGACTAGCCAGCCACTTGATTTTATCATATTATGCAATTGATGACACCTCTCTAACAGACACTGTATCCCAGGTATCAATATAGAAGAATTATCTGGAGTTGTATCAGAGTTTAACTGTTAAAATAATCCTTCCCACCTTTGGTTAGTTGCCATCACTTTTAGCATAGTTAAAATTTTGTTGGGAATCTCTTTGAAGCAGGAAACTTGTCTCTTACTTGCTCTGTAAATTTTCTTTACCAGTTTAGGACAAGGTAAAATAATCTAGCATTCTTTTGGATACTGTAAAAATTAACTTGTGAAATGTATCTTTTTTCCCCTTTAAGGAATGATAAGGGTAGGCTGATGGTTGGGCACTTTGTTAAAATGCTATACATACCATTACACCTAGACTGACATATTGGGGAAGAGGGAGAAAATCAGTTACATGCCAATATGCCTATAAACAATGTGATGTTCAATATTACATATTCATTAAAACACTGTTAAGACAAGTGGCTCCGAAGCAGTGGGGTGGGAATTATATCAATACAGCTGATGTACCAATCAGAATGCCAAAGAACTTTACATATTACAACAGATGCATCCGATTAATCAGTCTATTCTAAATACTGTTCCTGTCTTACTTTTTATTGGCAGAAACTACACCCACACAACATGTGTTCAGGCAACTGCCACGTACAAACTCAATCTTATGCACTGCAATATGTACAAGAGTACAACACCATGAATTTAAAGAGATGTGTGTGAAGCCATTAGGACAGAGAAGTGATGCTTTAGGAGGTCTTCAACAGTATTTCTGGGTCACGTTATTTTGTGTTGGAGCAACCTATCACTTAAATATCTCTGCTGAGGAAGGAATATGACATTTTTGTTAGTGTTTAATGTTTTCACGTGGGGTTCAAACTGCTGCTTGTGCTGAAGCACTTAGATGTCATTTTGAGAGAGTATGTATGTAACTTGCACAGATGTCCCAATTCAGCTGTGGTTTTCTCTGCCCATGTCTCAAGTATGCAATAGCTTTTCCAACCATCTCTTGAACAAAGCAGGAGTACTAGGCCCTAGCAGCTACTCTCTCAGTCAATTCTGTATCAGTCCATGTATCCTCACAGCAAGTGTTTTAGGCTGCATGGTTACATGTGTACATACTGGGCATTTTTACACATTTTCTGGGGGTGGGAGGGGAGCTTTAATTAGAACAGGTCCAAGAGCCACTCTAATTAAAGTACTGCATCTCATGTATCAGCATCTTCATGCTTCAAAATGGTGGCAGTGGTGCTTTAACTAAAACTAATCAAACAAGCTTTAGTTAAAGCATCCCCACTGTCATTTTGAAGTGCAGAGACACTGATACACGAGACGCAGAGGCTGGAACGTACTAATTAGCCTAATGAAGTCTGCTCTGACATGCTGTAATTGCAGTGTGTTGGAGCAGCCTCTCAGCACATATAGAGGCACCTACTGTTACCAGTGTACAACTGTCATTCAGTACTTCTTAGTCATTAATAGTTTACATATTCAGACCTCCTCCTTTCCATCATAAAAAAATCCTCTAATAAAGAGTGCTCTTTTAGTTATTCATTCTCAATAGTCATAAGGTGTGAAGTAACGTAAGTTTACTCATAGTTTGTACATGTGTAATGTAGAAAAGATTGTAACAATTTTTAGTCTTCTTAAACTATATTTGTAAAATGTTACTTAGCGTGTGCTAACAACATATGTATAAAGTACAATTAAAGACCACTTCATTAAATGGTTTTCCTAAATAATAACTTCAGCCTAATATTACTCTTCGTAGCCAAGCCAAGTAAAGCTATTTTAGCGGGTCCTCAACAAAATCAGCTGAGTTTTTACTTTGTAACTGGAGTTCAATCAAAGCTGAAATACAAAGCCAAATTCAGAAGTAAACTATATAAATCCAATAAGATAAAAAGCTCGAAGAAAACAAAGAACTGAGTTGAAGCTCTCTATAGCACTGTTCCATCCAGGAGACACCCTCTGGTATTATTTTATTTTTTTCAATTAGGTAGAGTATATATCTAGCTACCATTCACAGTGAGTAAAATCAGCGTGCTTACCAACTGCATGAAGTAACAATACTGCTTGAAACTAGCCAGAATTCATCTGGATTTATCATTATCTGTCTTTTAATGGCAAGACTGTCATCCAAAATATGAGCACATTGTTTCCTTGCATTTTCATTTCCTTATACAGGCAGTCCTCAGACTTACGACACAATTGGTTCCTGACAATCACATCTTAAGTCGAAATGTTGTAACTCGGAGCCAATTTTCTCATAAGAAACAGTGTTATAAATGGGGGATTTGTTCCTGAACCAAGGCCCGATACCCTATTTTCACCAAAAATACCCCAGAATTTTGTAATCGATCAATTATAGATGAGTAATATAGCTACATTAATGTATTTATATTGTAAATAGCAATCATATTGATTTGGAAGGACTTCTTTGAGGTGACTTTGCTGGACTTTTTGATGGGCTCTTGGTTGGACTTTTAGAAGGGTTCTTGGCTGGAGTCTTCTCAGGAGTCTTGACTGCAGGTTTTTCTGGAGCCTTGTCTGATTTCTTAAAGAAAGCGTTCAAGGAAGTTTGGACAGATGTTCTCCAAGGAGATAAGTGACGCAGCAAACTTGTTTGCTGGTGTGGCATCACATCAGATCAAGCGTTGTAAAGTCAAAATTGATGTCAAAGTTGAAACAGGGTGTCAATTTATAAATGTTGTAAGTACAAAACGTTGGAACTCAAAATGTTGTAAGTTGAAGACTGCCTGTACAACTACTTCATTCCTTCACAACAATGAATTTCTTCTGGTTATAAAATAACTACACTTAATCTGGATGCCTCTCCTTTTGGCTAAGCATTTCTGGGCTCATCATGAAAACGCAAATTTGTTGTAATGTTTAAGCAGAATTAGTTTAGCTGTTTCAAAAAGTTTATTTTTATAAGTGCTGAAATAAAACTAAATACAGGAAACCCTCACTATTAACAGGTTTGGCATTAATGGTTTCAAATATTCGCGAATGCTGAACCCACTTCTTAAATACACTTAAAGGAGCTCCTTGGGAGCTCCGTGCTTGCCACTGCTGGGCTCCCGCTGCCACCGCCCAGGCTCCCACTGTCGCCAGCACAGCTGTGCCCCCCGCCGCCAGCCGTGAGGGGCACTGAGTTCATGACCGCAGATGGCATTCATTAATGCAGTGCCTTATTCACGTATTTCACCATTCACGGGGGATACGAGAACGTATCCCCCGCAAATGGCGAGGGTTGCCTGTATCCTTACTCCAGATACCCCCCACAAAGGATCCATGTGCTAATTGGCCCCCCATTCAAGACTGAAACCAAGTGTCCTGGGACCCTTCACAAAATTATGCAGATGAGGAGCAGTGTTGCCTGGTATGTATCCACCCCACAGTGGGCTGGGCCACACTAATCATATGTACCAGGCTGAGAGGGGACATCAGAGCCTCTCAGTTGCACAGAAGTTTGGTGATGTGTGCCAGACATTTAAGGCTTCTGAAGAAATAGGAATAATTGGAAATGTGAAAGAAATGCACTGCTCAGCTGTGGGAGTGAAGCGGAAGTTGAAATGTATTTGATGTACTGGTTTACCGTGATTTGGAAGAGTCAGCACTGAGGGGGACTGAGTACAATGGGCACTATGTTTTAGTCAGATGGACTGCATTCATTTTTCAAGCATTTTTGGCACAAAGAGGAGACTGTCAGGGCTGGTTCTGGGCCCCCTGGTGCCAGACTGGTATTGCAGTACCTCCAGGCCTGGTGCCAGTTCCCTGTGGAGGGAATACTTACCTGTTTGTTTTTTTAAGGGCTGTAGCAGGAGGCGTGGTACTCCTGCTACTTTAAGAGCAGGTAGGCAGCAGATGTGGCCGGAAACAATCATGGGCCACATGAATCATAGAAAATCAGGGTTGGAAGGGACCTCAGAAGGTTGTCTTGTCCACCCCCCTGGTCAAAGCAGCGCCATCCCCAACTAGATCATTCCAGGCAGGGCTCTGACAAGCTGGGCCTTAAAATCCTCCAAGGATGGAGGTTTTACCACCTCTGTAGGTAACCTATTCCAGTGCTTCACCAGTCTCCTAGTCAGAAAGTTTTTTTCCTAATATCCAACCTAAACCTCCCTTGCTGCAGCTTAAGACCACTGCTGCTTGTTCTGTCATCTGTCACCACTAAGAACAGTCTAGCTCCATCCTCTTTGGAACCACCCTTCAAGAAGTGAAAGGTTGCTATCCATTCCTCCCTGAGTTTTATCTTCTCCAGACTAAATAAACCCAGCTCCCTCAGCGTCTTCTAGGAAGTCATGTGCTCCAGCCCCCAAGCCATTTTCATTGTTCTCCGCTGGACTCTCTCCAACTTGTCTACATTCTTTCTATAGCAGGGGGCCCAAAACTAGACACAATACTCCAGACATAGCCTCACCAGTGCAGAATAGAGGAGAAAAATTACTTCAATCGATCTGCTGGCAACACTCCTACTAATGCAGCCCAGTATGCTGTTAATTTTCTTGGCAATGAAGGGAACATTGTTGACTCATATGCAGCTTATTGTCCACTGTAACCCCTAAATCCTTTTCTGCAGAGCTGCTAACATACTTGTAGAAACCCTTCTTATTGCCCTTGCTAGCTGCAACTCCAGTTGCGATCTGGCCTTCCTGAGTTCGTTTCTGCATACCTGAGCAATACTCCTATACTCTTCCAAGTTGTCTGCCCAAGCTTCCACTTCTTGTAAGCTTCCTTTTTGTGTTTAAGCTCACCAAAGAGTTCTGTGCTAAGCAAAGCTAGTTGCTTGCCACATTTGCTATTCTTCCCGCACATCAGGATGTTTTGTTCCTGTGCCCTCAGTAAGGTTTCTTTAAAATACAACCAGCTCTCATGGACTTATTTCCCTCTCAGATGGGCCTCCCAGGGGACCCTGTCGATCAGTTCCCTAAGGGAATCAAACTCAGCTTTTCTAAGTCCGGAGTCCATACTCTGTTGCTCTCCTCTATAACCTAGAAGGGAGCTGGGCTTAGAAAGGATATAAGCCTGGATCCTGAGCTGAGCAGGCAGTAGAGTCCTGAAGGCTGGTTTGGGAACACTGCCTAAGCAGGATGGCTGCAGCTCCTGCATGTCAGTTTGGACAGTATAGTCTGTGACTGTCTGGAGGTTTTGGGGAAGGGACTAAGGGGTGGAAGAGGTCCCTAGGGACTCAGTTAGAGGTCCAGGAGCCCAGAAGGGGGCTGAGTGTGGGACCAGAGGGTCCAGGAGCCCAGACAGGCTGAAAGTGGGACCAGAGAGTCTGGGAACCCAGAGTGGGGCAAAGTGTGGGGCCAGGGGTCTGAGAACCCATGAGGGGTGGAGGTAGGAGCCAGGGGGCTGAAGCCTGAGAGAGGCAGTGTGTGTGACACCAGGTAGAAAGCCTGTGCTTGAGAGTAGCTGAGAAAGAAGAAATGCCCAGGAGGAGCAGGCCACTGTGGAAGCTGAATCAATGTAAGTGAGTAATAACACCTCCGAGGCATGGCGTAGGGACGGATGGCCTTTAACACAAGGCCATTAAGGTAATGACCATTTGGTAATGACCAAAGACACCTGTGGTTCTGAGAAGCAGATAAGGTTTGGGAAGCCTTGCAACAGCCTCCTTATCTAAAAGCTAGATACATCAAGGTGTGGTAGGAGAATAAAAGGGTGATTGCCCAAAGACACCAGAGTGGATAGGATGGAGGGGACTCCAATACAGCCAACCCCAAAAAACAAAAACAGAAAGGTTCCCATCAGTGTATTTGCCCAATATGGGCCAGGTGTTTTATGGGAATGCTCTCAGCATGGGTTGTGTTGCATTCAATGACTTTATAGTTGGTTTCTATGATTGAGTATATGCTGCTTCTAGCAGCAGCTTAATAATAGACAATATGTTTAATGGGGGGCGGATGCTGGTACACAGATATAAGATGAGGGGCTCTCCCCCTCGTCCTGATAGGATAAACACCGTATGCTACACTCGAGTAAATATGGTACTATGTAACATGAGCGCTCAACCTACAGCAGGGGCAGGCAAAATACAGCCCGTGGGCCAGATCCGGCCCGCCAGGCCATTCTATCCGGCCCACAGGGCCCATAAAAAATTTAGAAAATTAATATGCATCTGCTCTTGGCTGCCTGTCAAAGACAACAGGAGCCAAGGGCAGTAGAATCAGGGGAAGCCAGTGACAGGACCCAGCAGCTCAGCAGCAAGTCCCGCCCAGCTCCACCCTGCCCCCCCCCCCACCCCGACCCCCCCAGCCGGAAGCCTCTACCTAGCAAAGCTTCTGGCCTGGGACCCTGGGGCTGTTCCTGCTTCCCTGTGCTGGAGAGGGAAATTCAGATAAGAGTTGTGGGGGAGGGAGGCAGGGGAGGACCGTGGGTGATTACCCCAGTCCTTGGAGCCGGCAGGGCTGGCTCCTGCCGAGTCCTGAAGTCACGGCCATGCAGCTGGGAGCAATGTGGTACTGGAATGCTGTGGCGGGCAGGAAAGCAGGGAAAGTGGCGGCAGGTGGGCGACTGGCAGCAGGTGGGCATGCAGCGACAGCTGGGTGGGAGTGAGGGGCCTGCACTAGGGTGCCAGGGCCGGAGGGGACCAGAGCAGGGCAGCAGAATTACAGGGCTCAGGCCAGCAGGGATCTATAGAGCTGGGCCAGGCTGTGCCAGCAAGGAAAGGAGGGAGCCAGCCCAGCTCGACAGAGCTCCTGCCACCCAGCCTTGGTCCCCACTGGACCACAGGAGGACGGGACCTGCGCTGGTACCCTGAGGCCAGAAGCGGGTGTGGGGGTATGTGTCTGTGCATGCATGTATTTGTGCAATGAGGAAGGTGGTTTTAAAAACTGATTGCTGGTTTTAAAATTAAATAGAGAGGCAGGTATACTAATGTCTTAAAATCTCTTCAACTTACCAAAATCACACAGCTTCAAAATATCATTGTGGCTTATTAAGAGATTTTCTGGTTTGATATCTGGAATATCAGAGAAAAAAAAAAAGGGGGAGAAATCTGTAATACAGTTGCTACCACCCATTTTTAACAGTCAACTTGTTAAACACCATTATTTAATTGTAATAGAACTACAACTATTCATACAGCACTAACAAAATAGATCACAGTAGAAAGCACTTGAAACTAGTACTAGGCTTCAAATAAGCTGTTCTTTTCTAATCATGCAGAAGTCACGCTTCTGTATTGTGTTTCCTTTTTAAGAATTCTCCCAGGTAATATGGGAAGAGTAAACCTGTCTCTTGCAGTTCTAAATGGGCACAAAAATCAATATGTGCATGTGGAAATATCATTCTACTATCCAATTTATTACAAATATTTACCTTGTTTATATACAGTATTTGCCAGCTCAGAATTACCTCCTGAGGCTCCTAGTGTTGTTCTAGAAATAAGTTTTCCTCTAATTTCTTAGACATATACTTTAGTCATAAAAAATAATGTAATCTCTGTATGTACAACCTTAATTCACTAGCTACATTTTACAATGAAATTAAGAATAAAAATACTTTTCCTGTCTATATTTTGATTCATTTTAATTATAACTCAATTAGCATTCTAGGTGAATTTTGTTACTGAAACCATCCATTAAAAAAATGCTTACAAAATCATGCAGTCAAATGTTTTATAAAATAAAAAACATAAATCTAGAAAAAGCCACACATTACAGTAGATCAGGAGAAAAAACTGTATTAAGGTACCTTTTAATCTCTTTCTCTTGGTAATGTCACCGTTGTAATTTTGTTTCATCATGGCAAAATACATAATCTTTACTTTAATGACCCTCAGAACTACACTATTTACTGGGCAAACCTTGCTTTATAATGGTCTTATTTTTCTATCCTTTAGATACTTTTTAAAAGAAACTTTGGTAATTTTGAATATAGGGTAATTTATCTGCATAGGCACTGATGAGATTCCTATTATCATAGTATTTGATCTCATTCAAGTATCTGCATATCTCATTGGAAAAAAAATTCTAGGCTCATTTAAGTATGATTTGTTCTCAAGTAAAATAAAGAAAGAAAATAAAACACACTGATGTTAATACAAAATTTATAAGCTGTAGCACCATTCCCTATTGTATGAAAATTACTGGTATGGGCTCATTTCTATGTGAAAAACTATACACTTACCTCTGTGAACAATATCATTCTTATGACACCAATGAATTGCTTTGATTAACTGGTAGATATAACTTTTTACTTTCTCAGGTGGAACTCCATTCGGCATTTCTTCTAGCAATTCAAGCATATTCTAAATGTGAAAAATATAGATATTAATTGTGAATAGGTAACTTGATCCCTAATTTGATTGTAACATACTGAAGTAACAATTATGCCTGCGAATCTGGCTGTGCAAATGAGCACGTTCACATCCAAGTAACATAATCTTCCCCTAGTGAAGGTCTTCTCTCTCTACAGGTGAACCAAAAATCTCTTTTTATAAAGGAAAAATACTTAAAACCACAATAATTATCAAGTGTAAAGGCAAGCATCTAAAAAAATCAGCTAGGTCCTGTTTTACCTAGAAATAATTGCTTAGAATTGAGTTCCTTCAAACAATTTGACAACAGAAAGTTCCAAAACACAGAGCAGTTTATGAATCATCCTTCAATATTTTATGCAGTTTTTCTGGAACTGTACCAATCCCACATAATATGACTTTGTCTAAATACCAAAAAAAATGCTTTAACTACATCTATATAGTACAATTCTAGTGACGTAGATGCAGCTATATTGATCTAAGGGTGCCTCATAGTGGCATAGATATTTGTGTAAGGAAGTGAAAATAAACTAAGCCAGTCTAAGACACTTTGTACTGAAACAACTGTCACTCCTCCAGGGGTTGTACTGATTTGCCCATTTGAGTAGAAAAAAAATCAGATCCCTAATCAAAATAATTACACTGGCACAAAACCTCTGCGGTTACAAATCTTATGCTGGCTACCTCTCAATCAGTCTTGTGCACTAAAATGTACAGTGGAGATTAGCCTGTACTAAATCCCAGGTGAATGGGGGGCAATATCTGCTCCCAACTAGAATGCAGAAAGTCTTATTACGGTGGGAAGAAGGATCTGAGAACATCAGCCTCGAAAACTTGAGGTACATTATGTAGTACGTGTGTCTAGCAGTACATATAGTACAATGTTTAATAGTAAAACTACTAGACATTATTAAATCACCACTTACAGTGCCTTTAAAGAAATGACAGAATTCTGAACCTTGTGTGGAAAAATTGAAAAAAAAAATTTGGGGTATGTTATTTTACAAAGAACAACCTGTAACTGACTTGCAGATTTATGCAGATTTTTACATGGACAAAGATACTGCAGCAAATCAGCTCCTTTTCAAATGATTATGTCAGAAACACCTCAATGTACACCTGAATTTATCAATTTATAAATACATTCAATAACATATGAATGTGGGATATACTTTTTGTTATATTTGTATCTAAGATATGAAGTAGTCACAGATATCTCTAGTAAGACACTGTAGTGGATTTAGTTAGAATACTGGCCACCAAAAGATACTGGAGATCTCAATAAATAAGACTTGTCTTAGTGTCATAACTGTGAACCAGAATATCAGTATCAACAGGGTGAAACATAAACCTATATATTTAACCAAGAGGGCGATGGATAAAGGGGATTACTTAAAATCAAACTTTGTCTAATCTGGATTTGAGTACTGCAGAGATAAGACTCTTTAAAGGACAAGAAGTACTCATCAACCAGCAGAGACCCTAAATAGAAACTAGCCTACTGTATAACATTTTCTTTAATTCTTCTCCCTCCTCCTCCCCTAAAATATAAGAACTGTATATTTATTTGTAATAGTCCTGAAAAGTATCTATAAAATACAGGAGAATTCATTTTATACATTGTGAAAATGAGAAGCATTTATAAATTGTGAGGTGTAATTGAAAATAAAGATGGTAATAGAAGTGGCATTATGCAAAAGCTCTTCCTGATATCTACATACATTATTTTATCCTAGTGTTTTTATTAGAGTAAAACTGGATCACGAAAATGTATTTTCTTCTTTAACTGCAAAATATAATAAAAATCATGCAACCTACTACATTCTTTCAATAAATATTATTAATATAACTATTTTAAAATTTGCACTTAGTTAACTAATTAAATATTTATCTCTCTTTTGTATTGGTCTTCAGTACTGTTGACATTGTTAGTACCATTTGATTAGCAATATCAACTTTAATAAAAAACTATATATTAGAGGTGTACCAATATATTGGTCACATATTGGATTAGCATCGATAACAGGAAAATTAACATTATCAGAAAGCAGGTTTTTTTGGCCAATAATGTCACCGATATATGCCATGTGCATGTACGCAGCCAGGAATGCAGCCAGGCAGCTTGGAAAGCAGTGTCCTACTGATGGGGAAGGGGCGAGAGGGAGGGAAGAGGTGTGGTGGGGGGCAGATCGAGGCCCCCATGGTGAGGGAAGGAGTGAAACAGGGGCAGGGACAAATGCTGCCCAGCCAGGATGATGAATGTGACCCCAGGGCCAGGAGCAGGATGAAGCTATGGGTGGCTCATCTAGGGGGTGCAGAGAGGTAAGGACGGGAGGCAGCTCCCTGCTGCTATGCGCATGCCTGGGAGAGGCATGAGGGGGCATGTGCCCGGTCCCCCGGATTTGTGTGTGGGGTGAGGGCAGGCTGCCCATTGCTGGCTTGGGGACAGGGGCCGTGCCAGCCTTTCCCTGGCAGGGGGCTGGGTCGGGGCTGAGCTTAAGGCAGGCTCAGCTGCGCGGTGTGGGTAGCGGAGCTGGGGAGGAGGGAGAGTGCTGAGGGGGAACTTGAGGGGCTATGGCCATCCCAAAATTCTCTGTAGCCACTCCTCCCAGTACCCCTGCCATCCACCCTGCGCAGCTGAGCCTGCCCTGAGCACAGCCCCAGCCCAGCCCTCCTACTGGAAGAGGCGGGTGCAGCTCCTGGCCCTGAGCCCACAGCTGCCAGCCTACCCTCAACCTGCGCACAAATCCAGGGCGGGGGAGGGGGGGGGCACATGCCCCATACCTCCCCCAGGGGTGTGTGTAGCAGTGGGGCGCTGCCCTCCCTCCCCACCAGCTGGTCAAACCGCTCACGGCTCTGTCCTGCTCCTGGCCCCAGGGCCCCATTCACCACCCTGGCTGGGCAGTGCCTGCCCCTCCCTCTCCCTTACCATGGGGGCCTTGATTTGCCCCCCATGCCCCTTCCCTCCCCCCCACAGACATCAGCAGGACATTGCTCTCCAAGCTGCCCTGCTGCATTTCCGTAAATTGGCCATTGGATTGGTATCGGCTGATATGGCTGGTTATTAATTGGCTATCGGTATCGGCTAGGAAAATGTTTATTGGTGCACCTCTACAAAATATACAACAGTGGTGCATATATGAATGCAGTTGGCGTGTTGTTGTGGCCGTGATGATCCAGGTAATGTCTAAGAGGCAAGGCTTTTTCTTTTTTTTTGTGACATTTTTATTGAACCAACTGTATTGGTGAGCGAACTGTGCCCAAACAGAAATATTCAAAATGAAGACAGAATTGATCACTATGGGAAAGGACGGATTAAGGCAGGAACTTCAGAATCCAAATGTCAGAGCTATCAAGGATCTTATGGAATAGGAATTCATCCATCACCATAGAGTACAACACAAAATTTATTATAGCCAGTACATGGATACTATAGAGTATTCATATATAGACCTTTGGTTACTTTATCTTACAGCAACAAGATGAAATCACATAATCATTTTATAAAGCTTGAGTAAAGGAAGCAGGTGGTGGTGAGGAGTCTCGTGACTCATTCAGTAAGAACTGCATGTACTGCTGGAAGCTAATACAAAGGAAGGGAAGTACTACATATTAGGGGAAATGATTTAACTGAGGAGGACTAGGTGGCCATCAGCAGAGCACTAGCAAGACATCCAATTTGGATTTCAGAAAAAGGAGCAAGGCCAAAGGAAGACTGCTTTAAATATAAATTGTTAGTATTTATTTATATGAAGCCAGGGGAAGCAAGGGGTAGAACCCAGAAGAAAGGCCTGAAGATATAGCAGAGGATTGATTTGGTCCCAAGCTGTTTCTCTTTAGAGAAAGGTGTATGGATTGTTAATGAAGAGCCAACCTAATGCCAGACAGAAACTCGTGGAATAGGTTTAGATGAGGTCAGGGTTGGAAGAAGTTTAAGTTAGTTGATCATAGGGAGTTTCTCCCAAGTCCTGTAAATGTGTTAATTCAAACACTTTTTTTCTTAAAGTGGATACAGTCCTTTTTAAGCAAGACTGACACTGACATTTTCATAGATTCCAATATGAAAATAATAGTAAAACAAATTCTATTTTCGATAACAGGATACATGGGGATACTATGTTCTTGTTTTGGAAAATTAGCTCAAGCTTCCTTCTTAAAGGCCACACTAGTCAACCTCACAATTAAACTCTCTTTTGAAGTTTGGGGGAAAATAAACAATTTACTCAACTGAAAGACAGTTCAGTCTATATGACTTCAGATTGTTTTATGTTGGGTCTCACATGACTCCTTTAGCCATTTTCTGTAAGCAATTACTAATATATATAATATACATATATGCACACATTATATACACAGGTAGTGCATAATGTAATATATATGTAATGGTCTACCTCAGAGAATGGCTAAAGGAGTCATGTCTCTATCTATCTAGAAATTTTGTATTATATATAAAAAATGTATATTTTATATTACAAATAGCATCGGTAATTCACACATATGTACTGCCAGACAGAGAAACTGTTAATAAAACAGTGAAAATTATACAAATAGCATTAGTAAATTATGCTATTTGTATAATTTTAACTCTGTTATTAATACGTTCTTAGTTTCCCATTTCTACATTAAAATAACTTCATTTTTAAAGCTCAAATTTATTCTTTATTTTAAAGGTCCATTTATTCTCTATAAGTTGCTTGATGATTCTGCTGTGAAAGGTATCACACAAATTCAACTCACTTTTTCCACATATTCGAACACTAAGTACAGCTTTCCTCTTCTTCTGAAGGCTTCCTTCAGTTCCACTATGTTTTCCTGTTTCAAAGTGCGAAGCATTTTAAGCTCTCGTAAAGTGGTTTCTTTGACTTCTTCATTTTCTAGAATATAAACAAGATGAGTGTGGTACAGCAGAACTTACCAAAGAAAAATAATGATTTTAGTACACCATGATAAATACTAATGGCTACCGTTAGTATTTTCTCTATACATCTTGGACAGAAAAGCCCTTCAGATATTTTGAAATACATTAGTTGAAACGAAAAGAATCCTAAAGAGTCAATAAAAATGGAACAACTTCCTAACATCAACATATAAGTATCAGTAGACATTGACACAGTAAGGACAGTTCAGAAAACTGTAAGATATTTCTGTGATTTGGGAACTAAATATAGCTGCCAGTTCACAGATGCAACTATAAACATACACTTCAAGCACTCTTTAGAAGAATAATTATTGATTATTTTTTTCTTTGAAATCCCCACAGACAAAGCCTCATATTTTAACTTGATTTACTACGTTGCTTGGCTGGCTTCTCATTGGAAAAGGGAATCTTTCACCAGCTTCCAAGATTTTGGTGACATTTGCATTTACATGCTTTTCACACGCACAACTTTCAGCACAGTAAATTCAGTTACACAAATGTTCAATCCATGCACCTTAGAAGTTATAAGGGCTAAAACTGATTCAAAGTGCAGACCACACAACACTTTTACTATGTGGTAAGTTGACTTTACTATGTGGTAAAAGTGCAGTGGACACACAATACATACTACTAGTATGTAGCAAATCACTTGAGCCTAGCATAAAATTCTTCCTTAAAAGTTGCAAATTAACTTTATTACATGGTGATTTTACAATGTAGAATGTGTCCCATTTATACTCTCTTAAACTATGCAAATCATTTCCTCCACTTTAATGAATCAGGAAAAGGTGACATGATTGCATGAATACACAAATAATTTGCAGCAGTAGACCAGATACCAAAGTGAACATTACACTGCAAGTGGAAGAGCATGTTCAGACTGAATTTCTAAGCATACAAACAGAGACTGGGGGGCTGGGCCACACAGGTGAGAGAAAAGCAGAGAGTAAGTAAACAGAGAGATGAGGGGAAAAAGAGGAAAACTAAAACAACACTAGCATCACAAAGGTTGTGGTTTAAAAAAAAAATCAAAACAGAAGCAATTTAGAGAAGTGTTAAGCCATTTCATTTGAAAGCAATGAACTTCTTGGCCTACATCAACCCAATCATCCACTTTCTACTGTCAACAAATACCACCTTCTGCAATGTATTTAGCCTGTATGCATCAACAGCAACATAAATAACATTAAAAATCAATTAAAATTAATTCACTTTTGTAACAAACTAACAAATTAGGTATAGAATGCACTGAAGTCAAAACTATCCAAAATACTCTCTCATCCATTCGTTGAAACTGTTGTAAACAACTGGCTGTAACTCTGAAAAGCAATAATCAGTCATGCAAAGTGACACCATAAAAGCGTGCTCTATGATTTGTTACCCAATGGTGAAATTAGGGAGGGTGGGGGGAAAAACCCCCATACAAGCTAGTCAACATAGTTCCTGAAAAATGGCTAGCATAAGAATCTTGTAGAACACTCAGATATTACAACATAGGATTTTTCTTGAAAAGTGAACTCCAGAAATATTGTGAAATATTCAGAAATGTTGTGATCATGCTTATTAAGTAATTCTTACACCAATATCAACAAATATGGAGTGAAAACAGGTTGTCTTAGTGACATAGCTAAAAGACTCAGGTATCTGACAACTTTAGTTCTAAAGCAACCAGAATTTGGATAAAATGCAACAAAAACAATATGCTTGATCACGTCTACTCAAACCAGGAAAGTGCATTCTTTGTAACCAAGTGCAACTCTGTTGCTGTCAAAGATCCCTTGTCAAATGGCAAACATAGAAGTGTGCGCTAAAATGTAATGGCTGGCATAACTCTCTCAGGGGGAAGTCATTTACACAACTTCCTCCCTGCTTGTGTCCCCTCCCCAAACAGCAGGCGGTAACTTTGTTCTGCCCACTTACTGATCATGTCTACTCCCACTCCCCAATCCCTGCTCCTGCCACTATATCTGTAGCATGTAGCCAGGCAATGCTAACAAAGCTGCATAGAAGATCAAAGCATGGATCAGGAAGTGGGGTTTATTCCTCTGTAATGCCACCTTGTCTGAAGGTACAAACCTGGCTTTAGGCAGGAGGTAACATTTAAAAAAATAAGAAATAAGTACAGCTTATGCCCCATTCAAAACAATAAAATAAGTTATTGTTTTAAAATCATCTCTCAGTATGTGAGGTCTTGAATTTTCACCAGGAAGATATCAGCCCCACATTTATTTACATGAGGGATGTCAAACTCCCTTTGGTTCTTCAGGTCAGGTCTAGACCACAGGGTTCCTCATGGGCTAGATCCAGACCCACTTCTGAGCGGCAGCAGAATGACCGGTGCTGTGTCAGTTCAGGAAATCACGGGGATTAATACAGCTGTTGCGCATCCTGCTGCTGTCAAAACACATCCCTCCCAGGGCTCTGTACTCTGGACTTTGGTGATGGGCCCAGTCCCCATAAGCAGAAGGAGAAAATATTATTTTGGGGGAAGGGGGGTTGAGCGTATGTGCTTATACGCACACACCCTCCCCCCAGCAGGTAAGTCTGTCATGGGGAAGTGGTGTGGGTGGCAGACTGAGGCCCCCGCAGTGAGGGAGGGAGTGGGGCAGAGGCTGGGGTGAACGGGGCCTCAGGGACAGGGCAGGTCATGGGACACTTCAGCCTGGGCAGCTTGTCCAGGGGCATGGAGGGGCTCCCACTGCTGTGCACACCCTGGAGGAGGCCCAGAGGGGATGTGCCCCCTGGATCTGTTCACGGGATGGAGGCAGGCTGCCACTGGGGGCTGGGCTTTGTGCCCTGCTGCCACTATCCCAGAGCAGTGTGAGCCATGTGCCTGCTGTGTGCAGGGCGCAGAGTCCAGCCCGCAGCACCAGCCCACCTCCACCCTGCACAAAGATCTGGGGTGGCACATGCCTCCTGGGCCTCCCTCAGGGTGCGCACAGCAGGGGGAGCCCGTCTGTGCTCCTGGATGAGCCACCTGGGCTCTGAGCATCCCACGACCTGCTCCGGCCACGGGGCCTCATTCACCCCAGCCCCTGTTCCACTCCCTCCCTCACCACAGGGGCCTCGATCTGCCCCCCATGCCACTTCCCCATGACAGACTTGCATGCTGTGCTGGGCAGTGCTTCACATGCTGCTGGGCTGTGTGTCTGTGTCTGTGCATGCCCCTTCCCCCTTGCTGTAGCCACCCAGAACCCAACCTTGGGCTTCTCTGCAGCCCTATGTGCTGCCACCACTGTCCCACAGTGGGGGGGGGGGGGGGGGGGGGGCTAAGCCCTGTTAGCCCCAGCCTTCTGCCACCATGCCAGTCCCCCAATTTCTGGCCCCTTCAGAAACTCCCTGAAGCCAGACGACACTGTTCTGCAGGCCGTATCTTTGATGCTCCTTATTTACATGAAGAGTCACAGAGAGGAAAATATTACCTTCACTGTCTTTGAATTTCTTGATGGCCACAATCTCATGCGTCTCCTGTAAAACAAAGACAAGGAAAGTGAAATGAACAAGATTTTTCCGTAGGTATTAGATCAATTAAATGACATATTCAGACTAAATACATTATTTTCACTCTATGTTGCCAGAGGCACATAGAAACAAACAAACAAAAAAGAATTAAAACAGAAACCAGTGAATATCACAATGATTAGGTGAACCAGGCTGTCCAAGTATATTCAGCAAATACACTATGATTAACTTCCCTGACTTCAAAACACAAAAATCATAAACACCAACAACTTATATTCATAAAAATAAATAATTATTTTTTAAAGAACTGAGCACCTGGAGTTCTCATTGTTCTGCTATTCTGGAAGTTGGGGCACTTATTTAGTGGATGTGGGGCCCTAGCAGATGTTACATTTATTGTGTGATAAAGTGTAAAATGCCACATGTTTAGCCTATTTATGACATGATAACATGTCAAACCAGCCACAAAGATGTTTCACATTTAATGTTCCATTTAACGTGGAACATCTTTGTGGCTGGATTACATTGCCCTTTAAATTGAAAATGTGGCATATTTGGCATAAGGCTGCACAGTGGCTTCAGGCACTAACACAAAGTGAGCTGATCAGCTGATGCACTTGCCACACACTAGCAAATTGAAAAACAGTGTATCCTGGCCCTGCCAGAAGTGGATGGCAGGACGGACAATTTTTGGAATCTATGAACAAATTTGTCAGATCCCAATCATGCAGCTGTGGGGAGCCAGGCATTAAAGACCAGTCTCTAATGCCATGCTTCCCATAATGCCCTTTTTACTTGCTGGTGCATGGAGGAGCTGTGGGCTCTCCACATGCTGGCAAGTTGAAAGCTGTGTCGGGATACAACAGCTTCACTAGGGCAGTGGTCTCCAACCTTTTCATGGTGAAGAACACTTTTTGTAAGTAAAGGGCACCCCAGGATCTACCGCCCCTGCCCTGCCCTGCCCCTCCCCACTCTACCTCCCGGACAAGCCACCCAGGCTCTGACCCCACTCACCCAGTTCAGCCCAGGTGGCAGAGGATGTGGCTCAGCCCAGCCACATGCATCCTGCAGCTGCTGCTCTAACAAACTGAGATCAACTGTCAGAGCACCACGAACAACCAGTCAACTGAGATTGCCTGGTTGGTGACCACTACACTAGAGGCTTGCAACATTTTGGAACCCTTTCACAGGTGGTATATCCCATGTGAATATACACACGTAAAGTATTAAAGAAGAATGAAGGACCATCTACTTTCTATTCTTCCATCTCACCAAATAGGAATATATGCATCTAAAAAGAATATTTCCCTCCACTTTTAAAATAAAAGCACCTTGAAAGATTATCACGGACTTCTATGGGCAGTGAATCATACCCTTTAAGACCTTTAGATGAAAGTGAATATGAATAATATTAAAAATTAATAAAAATGGAGTTGGCATATTTATTTTAAACTGTTAAGCTAAGCAACATTAAAAAGTGAGTCCATGTTTGGAACAAGTTCTTTAAAGCAGGTGTGCTGTTTTCATGTTCGTCTAAAGCACATAGCACATTATTTTAAAAAGATTTATATAATAGAAACAATGTGGCAATTTATCCTTTGATTGTCATACATGACATTTTTACCAAATCTTAGAAATGTTATGCTGTGCATTGGTCTAAATGGCTGACTGCTTTCTCTGACACCAGGGAAAGTAAATTTAACAAAAGCAACTCATGTGGAAGTCATTTTTCTCATTAGTTCCTGACTATCTCTCACAATGTTCTTGCCAAAACTTGCCCTATGTACAATGATCTAGTTTAAAAAAACATGCATTACATAAGGTCCCACGGAAGTAATACAGCTGATCAAGAAACAACCCCCTGCTCAGATATTAACAAAAAAAAAAGGGGGCAGGGGAGAGGATAACAAGACTTAGGATATAATATTTATTTATAGTTAGGGCTGCATTTTGAGAAGTTTGTCTATATATCTTTTACTTCAAACACAGAATCACATGTACATTTTCCTGTGGGAAGCATCCAAGTTGGATGGTCTCAAATAAATTGAGCAAATATTTTTTACTGGTTATCATGTCATCACTGAGACTGTCTTTACGTGTGCTCTCTAAGAGCCACTCTAATTAAAGCGCCTGCATTGTCATGTGTATTCAGCGTCTTGTGCTTTAACTAAAGCTTGTTTGATGAGCTTTAGTTAAAGCACCCCGGCACTATTTTGAAGCATGGGGACACTGAATACATGTAATGCAGAGGCTGCGGAAGCATGCTAATTAGGAATCAATTGAGCTAATTAGGAATTAATTACAGGTTGCCAGACTCCTCCAATGCACGCTAATTAGCATGTTTTGAACCTGACGTCTAACATGTATAGATGGCCTGAGTGGCTCCCACATTAAACGTCCTATATTCACACAAGTATATCCTTTGACCTCATAATAATTATTTAACTTTGTTTTGGGGATGTTTTACTTTTTAGTAAAGTAACTCATGTTTCAGCTCTGATCCTGGAAATACTTCACTGGACATGCCATGAGTAGTGCCACGGAACCCCACAAGACTACACACACCACAAAAGTTTTTCCAAGTTCAGGGCCATAAGGTCCTAACTTCCTCCATATACAACATTTAAAAGGAGACGTGCTTTCAAATAACAGATTTTTTTTCCTAGCATACTATCTGCAAGTCATTATTAAAGAATCTCACTGGGTTATAGAAAAGTTCAAACTCTTGTAGCATTTAAGAGATTTTTTGGAAAATAGCCTAAGCCTACCCCTCACAGAAGGAGAGCCAAACTACCAAACATTAACTTTCATTTACTTGGGGGGGTAAAACTGTGTACACAGTTACTGCAGAGGAGTTAATGTATGGCAAACCCATGTCTCCTTCTTATCTTGCAATAACTTGTTTGTGAGCCCATGTTCCAAGCTCCCTCTATGCTGCCCGGGCAGTCATGTACCACATTTGGGAGCTAACTGCCTAATTTACCCAGTAGGAAATGCTGCGTGTCTTGAGCTCTTCCCCTCTTTAGAACTTAGGGGCTCCTATGCATGTGCACGGAGCTTACTCCGATGCGCTGGAAATCCAGCACAAGTCTGTGAACCGTGAAAACTGATGTGCTCCGGCAGCCATCCATGTCACGAGTATCAGTGTCCCTGTGCTGACAAAATGGCGGTGGGGCGCTTTGAAATAAAACACATTCGATGAGCTTTAGTTCAAAGTGCCCCACTGCCATTTTTTCAGTGTGGGGACACTTTTAATTAGCACAGCTCACTAATTAAAAGTGCCTGGTGCCACGTCTCAAAACACATGTAAAAATGCTTGAGGTGTCTATGGCTGAGCTGCAGGAAAGCAGCTACAATTCACAACCTTGAAACTGTGTCTGGAATTAGGTGCTTAAGCTGTTCCTGTCAAAAAATGGAGTCCCTCCTTCCTTTTAAAACAACTGAAGGGGAAGCAATGATAGTGGCATCACCCCGTTTTTTATGTTAGCAAGATGTGGAAAACCAGGATTAACACCTTTTCTCCACTCAACAAGGTTTGTATCTACATCTCCCAGGAGAGCGCCCCAACCAGCAGACTGTAAGCTATTCTAGTGTGGGAGTGTTCCCCAGCCTTCCTGTTGGAAAGCGTTCACGTTTTCCGGGCTACAGAGAAAGACAGAAAGTGACCCCGACCTTTCTTGCCAGCTAGTTAGGGCACTCACCTTGCACGGGAAGTCTTGAGTTCAAAGACTATTTAAATAAACATCCTTAAAGGTGGACAGATTTTTTTCCTTCAAGGTGAATGCCCTCATCACAAGAGCACCTGAACAGAGCAGAAAATATCCTTTTTTTACATCTACAATTCATCAATTCATAACTTCAGGTGTGAAATTTGAATCAATTTTGCCACACGGTTTGAGCTTACTCAGCTACATTTATTACAAAGGAGTCTAAAGTTCAGCTCCTAAAAAGAAAAGTCTAGCTCTAGTATTTACCTTCACAACATGATGAGGCAATGAAAACTACAGACTGATGAGCATTGCACATGAAGCACTCAAACCACTTCCAGCATCAGTAGTGCCTTTAATGATCAAGGTGATCTCCATAAAGGACCATGATGCAACAATGATTCAGCATTACAAAGGCATAGGAAAATACCAGCTTAGAGCTGTCATATAACAGTAGATAAATGTTGCCAGATACTTGCCTTCCAATTTGCCAGAAACTGAAGATAAGGTGCAAAATGCCTGGTCACTGTCAGGGCAGAGCTTAGTGGTTGAGTGCCTCAGCACAGTGGAACTTTCTAGCACAAGGCACGGTGAGATTTTGTACGAGGGAGTTTCTCGGAACAGTGGAGAACCCCGGCGTTCCCGCCACTCATAAGCAAATTCACACATTACTATTGGCCGGTTCTAAATTATTCC